TATTTGGTTAAAACCTACCTTATCAGGATGAAATGAAATTATTGATTTGAAAATACTTTAGAAATTGCAATGTAAATGTTAGCTGTATTCCTATATACATAACTGATGGCTAGTAAATGTGGGTCCCTAAGAAGGGCTTCCACTATTTGTGGTTTCTTTCATACCAATTTGATTTAATTAGCAGCTAGGCAAGAAGGCACACCTTTTTATTACAAGACCAGTGATTATATTACCAGCCTTTTTTCTTTTAACTAGAACTCACGGTTTCCAAAGTTGTTTAGAGCCCACGTGACAAAGAGCTGGTGCTGGGATAATTCCTTCTCTTCCATTCTTCTGTCATCCTTTGCCTGTGCTATCATCGCTCTGAGAAAAAGGTGATATCAGGTAATAAACTCCTGGCGAGACGTATTTGTGACACTTGGGAAAATGGATTCGGGAGTTATTAGATATTATGTCATGGGATTTTCCCACCCAGGAACAAAGAATTGGGCATTTTTGGATTTGAGTACTAGGGGTCCTTCTTCTTTAAACAAAAAGCAAATAAATAAATATAAATCTTATAGATGGAAATGGTCAGTTAAATGTCATCTTGCCACAGGTTCACGTTAATGGGAATGTATTGAGTATCTGACTCCAGATGTTTAATTTCTTTGGGAAGCTGGGAATAAGAACTAGTTTTGGTTTGGTTTTGTTTTACCATAAAAGTTCTCATTTCATTAGGTATGGGAAATCTCATGGCCAGCCCTGTCTTTTGCTGTGAACTTTGTCCTAGTGTTCTAGTACTTTTATTTTAAAAAGGTTATTTCCTACTTGAACTTGATTCTCCTCTGTTAAGCAAAAAAGCTCTCTTGTGTCTGGGAAATCTTAATAGAAGATGTTGTAATAGCACGGGAAAATCATCATACTGATTTACTCTTTACAATTTCCTTTTTCCTTTTTTTTTCTCTATTTTTTTTTCAAATTACAAGAGTTAGACTTTTTGAATCTCAGGCATTTGATTTACCAAGTCCTTTAAAAAATGTTTTCTTATATCTTTTGGAATAATGTTGTCTCTGCAATCCCTGTACTTGATAATTGCCAAATAAATACTACTTTGACTTAGGCCTGCAACATTCATCAACACTTCTCCATTTGTTGCATTAAATCCAAAATTCTTTATTTCAGCGGAATGTGGAAGGGAATGATTGGATTTGGGGATAAGCAGGGAGGAGTGTAGGAGATAATTAAAACTTGATCCAATTCATTCTTTCCCTGAAATGCATTTAGGCAGAAAATATCATCGTTTCTTTGCTTTTGCTGAACTTCAAGGAATCCTAGGGCACCCCCTTCACATTTCTGAGCTGGTTTCTCCAATGACATGGGTTCCTCATAGTCTTTAACAAGTCCTTTGCTGTGATTTCAGCTTGCCATGAAAGTATTCGGAAGAACACTGACATAATAATAAAACTAAATTCTTAAATCCAACATTTATTTAAATTAGACACATTACACATTCAATTAAACTTTCTTGCTGAGAAAATTTAATGACTGGTGACAAAAGAGAATTAAAACTACGCATATATTTCTGTGAATGTTTAGAATGTTAGAGAATGGCTTGACTTACTTGTTAAGTGTTTTAATTTTCTGAATTTCTCATTATCAACCAGATATGTTACCTGAAGATTTGCTAAACTTTCACTAAGAAGTAGGGTCCTCAGCATGCTAATTGTCTTGTGATATTTACACCAGATATTTGAAAGATTATTAGGGTGCTTCAGCAACCTAACTGGCTTGTAAGAAAATAGACTTTGCTACAGTGTGGGGCATAATCTGATTTTTAGTTCACCTGAACCAGATGTTGAACACAATCGAAGATTACTATTTACTTCTTTGGTGGAATGGCGGAAAATGGAGATGAACTTGGGGGACATGCAGTGGTGTAACTATCCAGCTGGGAATGTGAATCTTCCACTTAGAAAAGCCTCAGAGGCCAGCAATACCTCTTCCCACTACCCTTCTTCAACACCCCCCCCAACTGTCCCCACACCACCCCATAAAACCTGGATATTAAAGAATGCTTGTTACTAAGATTCACCAGCAGAGATTAGTCTTTTCACCTTTGGGTGGCATCTTTTCCCCCTTCTGATCTGGAGATCACCTGGACCTGAGTCTAGTAACCCAGATGAGCTTCTGGTAAGAATGGTTTTGCCGGGTAATGGGAGCCCTGATGCTTGCTTCTTCACTGGCTCATCCTGAATATTTTGAGGTATTTGAGAATATTTTGAGACAGTCTCCATTAATTATTACCTGCAGTTCCAGCTCCACCTGTCATTTTATCTCCACTGTCAGTCTGCTTTCCTTCTGAGGGCTAGCCAGGGCATTAGCCAGGGAAAACTGACCTAGAAGTTAACATCCCCCTTTCAGGGATATGATGGGATTTTCTTTTCTCTCCTTCCCTACTTTCCGTCTTTCTCACTCCCTGCCCCCCCCACCACATCCCTTGGGATTAAGACAATCTCTGGTAAAATAAAGAGCTGGAAATTTGATGATCATAATAACAGCTCAAAATTGTGGAGATGGTAGTTTGTCTTGGAGATAATCCACTCTTCAGGAACAAAAAGATTTAAAGCTTTCTCACAGAAATACACAGTGAGGACATGCCAACCCTCAGCCATGTTCTCCAAAACAATGGGCAAAACTTCAACGTTGTAACAGAGAGACCTGGGGCCAGAGAAATAGAAAGACTGAAGACATCATGGGGCTTGAGGAGGTGAGAAGGAGAAGGGACCAGAAAGGGGATTTCTGAAGTGGATTCTGTAAGGGCTGAAGCACACTCCATGGAAAAAGTTCTTTTTGGAACCATGGAAAAGTACCTTGAGTCATTTTCTGGGGTAGGTGTGTATTCATGATCAGAGAGTTGTAAATTGGTTTCATTTTGGATCATGGGCTGTACCTGTACATACTTGCTGGCATTACATGTGAAACTCTGAGATTATATACAAATGTAGGAAGATTCTAGCTTTGTATGAAGCAGTACTTACTGGTAGAATCTGTGTGTTTTGTTTTGTTTTGGAATGAACATCTAGAGTCCATGTTGTAAAGCTATTATGAGCCTGAAATTCAATTACTTCTTTTTTTTTTTTTTTTAAGTCAGATTAGGAACCTTTGTTTTGTAGATAGTCAGGAGCCATAATCAGATTGTGCACTAGTTGCATTTTGTAGATGACATCTGCACTGGTTTGCAAGGAGCAATTCTCCTTTTGGGAATAGTCTTTAATAGGGGAATAAAAGTGTGACAGCTCTGCTCAAATTCAGCCCTAAACCAATGTGTCTTAAATTGTAGGTCCTGAAATAACTTTCATCAGGAATATCACCTGTGTTTGTTAAAATGCATGTTCCTGGGGCCTAAACCAAAGACCAGGAATATGAATTCTTACTGATTACTCATGCTCAGTAAATTTGAGAACCTTTATTAAGCAGCATTAATTAGGTTTACTCTGAGTTACATTCCCTCTTCCATTTCTTATCTCCCTTCCATTTGAGGAGACTCATGTGTGTCTATGAACTCTTGCATGATACAAGTGGTGATTCTCATGTTTGCTATGATATTTCTGACATCTGTTGTTGTCTCTGGTAGATAGAAGGGTTTCAGTGAGTATTTGTTGAAGTGGTCTAATTAAATCAAGAAGTAGTGATGTAGTCAGATTCACGGGAGAGTAGAGCTGTTGGCCTGAGTCATTCTGTACTAAGACAGTAAGAATTAAGTACCAAAGTCTTCCCCAAAGTTAGTGCCTAGTTGCTCCCTTTAAGCAGCATTAATTAGGTTTACTCTGAGTTACATTCCCTCTTCCTTTTGAGGAGACTCATGTGTGTCTATGAACTCTTGCATGATACAAGTGGTGATTCTCATGTGTGGGGAATAGTTTACTTGAAGGGGATGTGTGAAAGAGGAACATAATATGATTCCTTCTGGCCCATTAATTGTAGGGTAGCTTTCCTTTGTTCCTCTGTTTTTCCCAACATGATTTTGTGCTGTCCACACCTCCTTGATACAATAATAACAGAAGAGTATATTTTGTTTTGGTCTGAGTTTTGATCCAACAGGAAAGATCAGTGTTGTCTGTTTTCCCAAGGAGATGTTGTCCCAGGACACTTTTCCCAAAGGACCACAGGGCTGATTCATCCATTCTTTATTTATTTTTATTGCTTTAATTTTATTTTATTAATTTTATTTCATTTATACCCTCGCTAAATGCTAATGAGATACATGCCATAAAGAAATATATTCCAGGGGCGCCTGGGTGGCTCAGTCGGTTAAGCGGCTGCCTTCGGCTCAGGTCACAATCCCAGGGTCCTGGGATCGAGCCCCACGTCAGGCTCCCTGCTCAGGAAAGAGCCGGCTTCTCCCTCTCCCTCTGCCTGCCGCTCTGCCTATTTGTGCTCTCTCTCTATTTCTGCCAAATAAGTAAAATCTTAAAACAAACAAACAAAAATCATGTTTTTAAAAAAAGAAAGAAATATATTCCAGAGGACGTGAAAAAGCAGACCTCGTGTCTGTTTGTCCCGCTGGCAATGATTCTCCTCTTCAGGACCCTAACATTCCCCGGTTTAAACCTTGCCTTCCATGACAGTTTTCTGTGCACAGATGAGCTGCTTATGGATACAGGTGTGGTGCCACCTTGAAGAGTGACAAACCTCTGATAAGAAAAAGATACTACGTTCTTTGACCATTGGTCTAGTTGGGTGTTTTTCTCTGTCCCGTGGTTATCTGGGATGTCTAAAAACAGGGTATTCCTCAAGTGTGTGGGTTACCTGACTGCTGATGTCTGAAGGGGAAATATTCAGGAATTGCTTCTGAAGACTCCCCTTGGTTTTGTTTCCTTCCAATACAAATGTTATAGGATATATTCAAACCCATCATCTTGAACTTGAGTTTGCTAATGGGGAGGCTAGCTGTGTTCTGGACTTTACACTGGCGACCCTTATTTATTATTTATTAATTATTTATTATTTTCTTACTGAATATTTATTATTTTCTTACTGAGAATCCTTACATATCTTCATCAGAGACCACAGGGGTGACAATATTATTAAAGGAAATCGGGGCTTCTTAACATTCTGGAGAGTCCTCAGCCTCTTGGAAGGGCTGGGATCCCTGCTCAGCTTCCAGCTGCTGAATTTTCCTTTCCTTTTCCTCTAAAACATCTTCCAGCTGGGTGATCTTCTCAGTCTGAAGGGAAACCTGCGTCGACAACTCCATGATCAGGTTAATTTTTCGATCACCTTCTTCAACAGGCGGGAGACCCCCACAGGACTCTTCCTGAGAGTTGTCTTCTAGAGCAAAGAAGAAAAAGAAAGTCTGAACAGTTTTAATTGGATTTCCCAGAACTCAAAGAGAGGGAAGATGAAAAAACTTTATTTCTCACGTTCTTAAAAGGGAACACAGATGTTGCATCATCTGGTTAGATATACTGAGAATGGAATCTGGATCCGGTGAGGGGAAAGTTTCTGGGTGCTCATGAAAAAAGAACTTGGAAGCCTCCAGAGAGGGAGGAGAATCAGTCTTTGCCAACTCTTTTTTGCACACATTTAACTTTTAATTAACCATGGGAATGAGCCCTCCTTGAAAATCCAATCTATGAACAAGAGCCATCCCAAGTTTCACGGTATCCTTTGGCCCGAGAATCTTTCACAAGAGCGACAATTGAGTAGAGATATACTTTAAATTGAATTTTAACTCAACTAGGAAAAAAAAAAGTTGTTATCGCCCCTTCTGGAAGATGTGATGAGAAAAGACTAGTTTTTTAACCCAAGTCAGCTTTACAGTTGGCAGGGGTATAATTTGAGGTGATCCAGGAAAGCTATTAGCATAGTATCTGCCACAGAGATTCTTTTTTAAAGGTCTGGAGGTTTTTCAGCATTTCTTAATAAAAATCACTAGTATCTCCTGGATAGAAAAGCTTATCCTTTATAATTTCTGACCCCTCAGATAAGGATAAAAGCCTGAGTAAAGAGGAAGAGGGAGGCTCCAATAAAGAGATAAAATATTGGTGGCTGGCATCAGGGAAACCTTGAAAAAAAAAAAAAATCCCAGTAGACCATCAAAAAATGTAGCTGCTGAAAGCAAACCTCATCCTACTAGACTTTAGCAGGATCACCCTCCTTTATCGCTCTCATCCTGAAATTTCCACCATTAAAATCATGTCTCTGAGTTATATAAAGGGCAGACATCAGCTGTAAGGGATGTCAATTGGCTTGGGTGTCATTGTCGGACTACTCGAGCTAATAGCATAGGAATGCATGGTGTTGACAGCCGATTACTATAATTAAAGGTCCAGCATTTACTCGGTCCTCAGTGAACACAAACCCCACAGCTGCACCTGAGGGCAACCTAACTGCCAGTCCAGGAGACTGATACCTGCTACTATTGTACGAAGACGGGGCCATTTTGCTGGGATGGTCCATGCAGGCAGGGAATCTCCCACTTCTCACCAAATAAAACTCATTTGCCGTTTTTTGGTTTTTGTTTTTTCCTAATTTTCCCCCAGAGATCATGGGATGAAAGCTTGAACACTGACTTGCATGGGGGGCAGGATGGTTTGGGCCTCCGAAAAGTGTTGAGAGGAAAGATCAGGATGTTCTCTGCTCTTAGCAATTGTGCTTAGCAATGTCCTCCATTTCAAGAATCTGTGGAGAAGTTTTTGTTCTGAATATGTGAAATTTTAGCACTGATATTGAAGGAGATGGTAGTTTGCCTACCTTTCTTTACAAGCAACGAAAAACATCTCCACATCTCAAAGGAACATGTAGTTTGTTGCCTCTGCAATAGGGCCTGTGCTTTTAGACCCGGGCGAGTCAGTCCCTTTGGCAGGAGGCTTTCATCATCTGCTGATACGCCAGGGCCTCCTCACCTTTTACCTGGCCAGAGCTGTGCTGTCCAATGCGGAAGCCACTAGCCACATGTGGCATTAAGCAATTAAGTGTGGCTAGTCTGAATTGAGGTGTACTGTAAGTATAAAATACACATTTGATTTGAAGACTTAATGTGAAAGAAACGTGAACTATCTCATTAAAATTGAAAAATTTGGTTATGGGGACGCCTGGGTGGCTCAGTCGGTTGAGCGTCTGCCTTCGGCTCAGGTCATGATCCCGGGGTCCTGGGATTGAGTCCTGCATCGGGCTCCTTGCTCGGCAGGGAGCCTGCCTCTCCCTCTGCTTGTGCTCTCTCTCTCTCTCTGACAAATGAATAAATAAAAAATCTTTAAAAAATAAAAAATAAAAAAATAAAAATAAAAATTTGGTTATGTAAAAAAAAATAAAATAAAAAAATAAAAATTTGGTTATGTATGAAAACAGTAATATTTTGGATCTATTGTATAAAATAAAATACACTTTAGGACAATATTCACTCATTCATTTTTTCCCGTTTTCAAAACATGGCCCCTAGAAAATTTAAAATATCCTGGGTGGCCTGTGCTGGTGGCTCTCACTTTTCTGTTGGCTGGTGCTGGGCTCGAGTTTCCGTTTGGATGAGCACTCTCTGACACCCAAGTGGATGGGTTCCTCGTAGGTGGCGCTAGTCAACGTGTATGGTTGTTACTTGGGAGGGAGAATTGTTGACCCTCAACTGTTCGCACGCAGGTCATTTTTCTGTTACTCCCGAAGGTGGAGGCATAGAAATCTGGGCTTGGGAGAGTGGGTGCTTGTGGGTTGAAGTGAGTTTCCACAGGAGAGGAAAGAAAGGACAGAAAGTGTCAACCGGAGGCAGCAAGAAGATAGGACAGAAAGGAACGGTGGGCACGATAGGGAAGGCTGGGCCTCCGGGAGGCTTGGGGCTGGAGAAGGGCCTCAGGAGACTTCCTCCTTGTTGTGCTGGCTTGTCCTCTTTCTCTCTGACCTCTTCTTCCAACTTTTCTTTCTCCAGTTTTTCCTCTTTTTTCAGGAGGACCTATTTCCCACCAATTTACACAACTAAAAAAAGGTGCTTAGTGCCATCACAGAAGGCAAACTGGTCAAAACAGTGTTTTTTTTAAATAAGGCAATACAGGTGGAATACTTTGTTCATCTAAGTCTAGTGACAAAGGGGGAAAAATGCAGCAGGATGGCATTACCTAGGCAGTTGCTGTTACTAGGTCTGCATCTTCTGTCTCTGCCCTCCCAGAAGAGAGTAGTAGAGAGAGAGAAGGTAGAAAGAGAATGAAGGAAAGGGAGGCAGGGAGTCTTGGTTAGCGCAGGCTGCCGTAACACAATACCGAATATTGACTTGGGGGCTTAAAGAGCAGAGATTTATTTTCTCACAGTTCTGGAGGCTGATAGTTTGAGGTCCGGGTGGCAGCCTAGTTGGGTTCTGGTGAGAACACTGCCTGGTTTGCAGAGGGCCACCTTCCCACTGTGTCCTTACACGGCGCAGACAGAGACCACGAGCTCTCCGATGTTTTCTTCTACGGGGCACTCGTCTCAGGATCCGACCCTTATGACCTCATTGAAACTTAATCACTCCCAAAGCCACCATCTCCAAATGCCATCACACTGGGGTTAGGGCTTCGACACATGAATTACACTGAGGACACAATTCAGACAATAGCACAGCGAAAAGACAATTGGCAAAGGAGAGAGAGCGCGAGGGCCTTGATTCTCACTCTATTGTTTTCATGTATTAAATGAAAATGCTGATAAGAAGATAAGCTAAAGTGCATCTATATACCAGCTTTTTTAGATTCCACATATAAGTGACATCATATAGTATTTGTCTTTCTCTGTGGATGCATTTTACCAAGCAGAATGTACTTAAAAGCTGAATTGATCGAGAAAGAGTGGAGTGGTGTTTACTAAGAGGATGGGGGATGGGGAGGGAGGAATTGGAGAGGTATTGGTCTAAGTGTACAAATTTCCAGTTATAAACTTAAATTCTGAGTAATGTGTAGCATAATGATTATAATTAATAATACTGTATTGCATACTTGAAAGTTGCTGGGCGAGTAGATCTTAAATGTTCGCTCCACAGAATAGACATGGTATTTCTGTGATGGGATGGTATTCCTAGCTAACGTTGTGGTGGCAATCATTTTGCAAAATACACATGTATCCAGTGAACCCATGGTGCACTTTATTTTTTTTATTTTAAAGATTTTCTTTCTTTATTTGACAGAGAGAGACACAGCGAGAGCAGGAACACAAGCAGGGGTTGTAGAAGAGGGAGAAGCAGGCTTCCCGCAGAGCAGGGAGCCCGATGTGGGGCTCGATCCCAGGACCCTGGGACCATGACCTGAGCCGAAGGCTGACGCTTAACGACTGAGCTACCCAGGCGCCCCACATGGTGCACTTTAAAGTTACACCATATTATAGGTCAATTATATCTCAGTAAAACTGGAGGGGTGGGGGGAGAAAAAAAGAAGTATATACACCAAGAAGAAAATTTCTCATACAGCTGTATTTTACTATTTAATGACCTCTTCACACATACAATAAAAATATTTTTGTTCCATTTCTAAACACATTACAAATCACAGAAGTGTTTTAAACTCTTCAACAAAGTGGGGGCTCCAGGAGTCTCATATCCTACTTGTAGTGGAATTAGCCCAAGGCCAGCCCAGTGATTTGTCCAGACTCCACCACTAATCTCCGCATGACCTGATGGGCACCATTCTCCTTGAATCCAGGCTCCCTTATCTGGAAGCTCCTGACAGCTCTACCCATCCCCACATCTCAAACACTGGTGGTCCTTCTTAGATTTTCATTAGCAGCTCATATAGTCTTGCCAAGGTCACGTCTGCCTGAAGCATGGAGGGTTCTGTCATTTGACAGCATAATCTCAGGTTTAGCCCCATTCCAGGGACCTCCAGGAGACACAGAGACAAGAGAAATTCTGTCACAGGGAGGGAGCAAACCTGATTAGCCATAGTCAGCCTATGAAATCACAATTGCTACCACAGTAGAGGTTTTTACGAGTACATGCTGTTTTTCATGATTTCCCCTCCTTCTGCTTCAACTTAAAATAGGTGTGAAGCACAAAAGAGAATGATGGCTTGGGGTCATGGCAAAGAGGAGATGAGAGAAGGTGGCAGTTTTGCATGCTTAAAAAGGTTTAGAAAGAAGACAGACAACACGAGCATTCTTTTGCTTGCAGCTGGGGCCTGCTAGGCTCACTTTTCTATGTAGCCTTGAAAAGACAAAGGGCCAGGAAGTAATTGTGACATTTGCTTTTGACCATTTCCAGCTTCTCATTCTTAATAGCCTTAAACCCTTCATGCTTTCAGCAAAGTGCCATATGTGAGTTATATTAAAAATACTAGTAACTAAAGAGATAACAGCAGAGGTCATTATAGTTTGAGTAG